CGGCGGCAAACACTGTGTATTACGGCGTCGCTCACGTCAGACGACCGGCCATTGAGTACACGGACTCACATCTGAACCAATTATGGGAAAGTTATTTCAATGGAGACGACAAACAGATGATTGACTTTTTCTATGAGGACAGAGAGGACGCCCTCCGAAGAGCCACAGCTCTGGACAAACGTATTGTGACCGACGCTCAGGCGGTCGGCGGCGAGAGTTATGTTAAGGTTGTGTCCGCAGCGCTCAGACAGGTATGTGTTGTGTCGTAACTATAATACCTTTAAATCATTTATGAGATAATAGTGATATAAAGTGGGAAATATATTATGAAAAACTTGTTGATGTAATAATGTAATTGATAAAATATTTTTAATCACAAATTATATTTTGTGAGCATTTTAGAATATGTTACATAAATTTTTAAATTTAAAACTTATCACTAACTCATTAGGCTTATGGAGGAATAGAAATGGTTGGCACAGTTAACAGGCCGTGGATGATGTTGAAAGAGATCTCATCCGATGGCAACTGTCAGACAGTGGACGTGATTTACCCACACTTTCCCGTCCAGCTATATCTCAATCCGACACTTTTGAAATATCTTTTGGATCCATTGCTCGACAATCAAGAGAAAGGATTTTTCCCATTGAAGTATTGTATGCATGACTTGGGATCTAATTATCCCAAATGTATTGGACATCAAGACGGGCACCAGGAGGACATGGAGGTCGAGGAGAGCGCCAATATGTTGATCATGATGTCAGCCTATGTCAGGGCAACCAATGACACAGAGTTTGCTAAAAAGCACTACAAAATTGCTAAACAGTGGACACAGTATTTGGTCGATCACGGGTTGATCACAGGTATAGTTTATATTTGAGTTGTAAATTTGAATAACAACAGGAGTAATAAGTTATAACTTTCATAATTAATCTAGGTAACGCTTTGACAACCGATGACTTTTTGGGTAAAATTGTAAACTCAACAAACCTTTCGGCCAAAGCTATTGTCGGTATTGGAGGTATGGCACAGTTGGCTGAAGTGACCGGTAATGATGCGGACAGACAACATTATAGACAAATTGCAGAGAAATACGTCACCGAATGGATCCGTTTGGGTGAAGACCCGTCTAATAAACACATGAAACTGAGCTATAATAAGGCCAACACGTGGTTTATGATCTATAACCTGTACGCTGATGTCTTGTTAAATACCAAATTAGTACCCGAATCGGTTTGTTAAAATATTTCATCTAGTTTAAATTACTTGGTTAACAACTATTGCATATACCTATAGATTTACAAACAACAGGACGAGTGGTACCAACAGGTGATGAATGTCTACGGCCTGCCATTAGAGAGCGGCCAACCGGACACAAAGTATGATTGGATTATGTTTACGGCCGCCTCGTCTACGAACACAAAACTGCGGCAATCATTGTTCGATCGGACGGCCAAATGGTTGCGCGAAACGCCCACTCGAGTGCCCTTTTCTGACTGCGTGAACACCATTACCGGCGCTTCGCCCCGTTTTTTGAATCGCCCCGTAATCGGCGGTGTATTCGCGCCGTTGACTATTAAACACTAACCATAGTATGAATTGTCATATAATTTGAATTAATTTTTTAAACCATAATAAATGTTTCCGTATTAGATATACCGAAATAATTTATAGTAAATATAATGGAGATTAATTTAATCATATTTAAAACGAAATAAAGTTTACACGTTAAGTTTATGTGTAATCTTATTGAAAAATGCTTTTACTATGGAAAAATTACAAAGTAATCTAAGAATTAATTAAAAATTAAGTATTTTTACATCAAAACTTAGAGGTTATTAAAAAAATTACAAAATACATCCTAAATTTCTATGAAAAACGTAAAATTATCAATCATTTAAAATAACAACATTTAATTTTTAAAAATCATTTAGCAATTCATATGAAACGAAAATCACGTATAATTTAGTAAAACACTTTATATTGTACTTAAGACTTGTTTACTATAATCGAGAGAGAGAGAGAGAGAGAGAGAGAGAGAGAGAGAGACGTGTTGTTATTTTTTAAAATGAAAATTTCATAGAAATTTAGCAATAATTTCAACAAATATTTTATCAATTAATTATAACACTACGTTTGATTATGATTAAACGTTTATTGAAAAATATAGTAAATTACAGTATGCTTTTACATTATTTATAAAATGTCACAAAACATGTTTACAAAAATTTAAAATTATTAATACCCATAATAACCTTAATAATTAATACAAGACATGTCTATTGAATGTCAGCCTTAATGATTGAAATTTTAATAATGCCATAATTATATCCAAATATAACTAGATGAATATAATTTATAATTAAAATAAATACAGTACTTTAAAATTATTAATAAAATTTTCTTAAAATGTGAATCACACCAAGTTGATTATATAAGAAATGATATGTGTATTGATAAATTACTTTTATTAACATCACCACATCTGCTATTGAGTGATGTTTACGGATACTCGCGGTACTACTGTTTGACAGTTAATGAATCATTAGTAATGACAACATTTACATGTTAATATATCAGTAAAGTTTTTAAACATGTTTTTCAATGCATAAAACAATGCTTTGCTTTGTACAGTTTATGCAAACATACTGTATGCTAATTAATGGGTTATGTCATACATTATAAGAGTACGAGCGCGTGTATCCTTTAACACATCTGCAATAGCAGATTTGTCAATAAAAGTAATTTATCAAATACATATCATTTCGTATATAATCAACTTGGTGTGATTTACGTTTTCATAACTCACTATTTTTGAGTATTTTAAAATATAATTTACTTGAAAGTTAGATCTTAACCTCGTTAGATAAGAGGGCCACAATTTATATACAGTATTTATTTCTGTAATTGTGGTGTATTTTAAGTGATAAAAAAGTTTCTCAATCAATTTGGTTAACTATGGTGATAAAAAACATTTTAATTATAGTTACGCTTATTCAAGTATTCCACTATCATCCAGGTAAAATTAATGTAACAAAATCAAACCACGATAATACATTATATAAATTTATTGTGTAATCATGATATTCAACATTTAACCATGATAATTTTACGTAAATATTAATAGTAACACTCCGGGCCTGTGACGACGGTTGGGTCGACTATCGGGATGAGAAAAGTTGCCATCAACTTAGCGAAGAGCTAGATACTTTGCGGTACAGGCTTAATGCCACTGAATACGTGCGTGACGTGCTAAAAAACGACCTTACTCATACACAAATTGAATTAGGAAAATGTAAATTAGATGTTTATAATATCAAGAGAGATTCGACAGAGCTTAAAATAACAAATGGTGAATATTGTTTAATTAAACATAATTTAAAACAATATAAATTTTTGAATAACACAAATATTTTTACAGATGTGTTGCCGGCCGTACCACTGGTGGTGAAGAGTCCATACCTGTCCACTTGGATGACTGGCCGACAATTGGTAAACGATTGGACGCGATCCTGGAATAGAGACATCAGGGCTATGGCGGGTATGGTTCGGGTCGACGGACAGACCTTTGTGTTTATGGGTGGTCTCGAAGGCATTCGAGCCGTACAGTCGGGTCTTCGCGTGACTCCAACCCAATCGGTGTTTACATTCACCGCCGGACCCATAGAACTGGTCGTAAACTTCTTCACTCCTATCGATCCGACAGATCTCAAGCGTCTGTCACTTCCGGCCTCTTATATATCAATGAGCGCCCGATCTATGGATCACAAGACACATGAAGTCCAGGTATATCTCGATATGACTGGGGAATGGGTTACCAGTGATCTCAACCAAGTTGTTGAATGGGATGTAAGCGAAGTAAAGGGCAAAACAAATCTAATTAACGGCAACATTAGACTCAAGAATCAGAAACAATTTCAAGAATATCAAGGTACTAAATTATTAAACTATGATTTACTAACAATTAATTAATCAAAAGTTGTTTATTCATTCATTGCCCATAATTATTATGCATCAGATTTAGCCCAATGGGGAACCATTAAGTTCTTCACGGACTCGACCGCCACTTATGAGGTATTTATATAAACTTAATATTATACAATATTTGAATTGATTAATAATAAAGGTACTTTAATCTCATATATATTTGAATCAAATTATTGTGTTAAATTAAAATAAAATTTTTTTATTATTGCAATCAGTGATTAAAGTGATACTTACTAGTAGTAGCTTTAATGATAATTCAATTCATTTATTATTATATTAAACAGTTTTTATTTGTCTTTTTAGGCCAATGGTTGTGATACTGTAATGCGCCCAAAGTTTATCAAAACGGGTAAACTCGACAATACTGTTTGCAACAATTTCCGCAAAGTGTCGGACAATTGGCCGGGCATTGGGTTCGCGCGGACACTGACCGCCGGCGCCACTCATACGGCGGCAAACACTGTGTATTACGGCGTCGCTCACGTCAGACGACCGGCCATTGAGTACACGGACTCACATCTGAACCAATTATGGGAAAGTTATTTCAATGGAGACGACAAACAGATGATTGACTTCTTCTATGAAGACAGAGAGGACGCCCTCCGGAGGGCCACAGCTCTGGACACCCGTATTGTGACCGACGCTCAGGCGGTCGGCGGCGAGAGTTATGTTAAGGTGGTGTCCGCAGCGCTCAGACAGGTATGTGTTATAAACAACTGCAAATGTTCATAATATTATTGGTAAAACGTATGAATAAAAAACCAGATAAAATGTTGTGATAATTAATTATAATTTCAATAATATTTTATAAATTTTTAACATTTATACACAAATTATCTCTTAGGCGTACGGAGGCGTGGAAATGGTTGGCACAGTTTGCAGACCGTGGATGATGTTGAAGGAGATCTCATCGAGTCGTAAGTGTCAGACAGTGGACGCGATTTACCCTCACTTTCCGGTTCATCTATATCTCAATCCAACGCTTTTGAAATACCTTTTGGAGCCATTGCTTGACTATCAAGAGAAGGGGTTCTTCTCAAAAAAGTATTGTTTACATGATTTGGGATCTAATTATCCCAAATGCAATGGACAGGTGGAACACGATTTGGATATGGAGGTGGAGGAGAGCGCCAATATGTTGATCATGATGTCAGCCTATGTCAGGGCAACCAATGACATACAGTTTGCCGAAAAGCACTACAAAATTGCCAAACAATGGACACAGTATTTGGTCGATCACGGGTTGATCACAGGTAATATTTGAGTTGTCAAATATAGTAAATTAATTATTATTAATTTAAAATGATAACCATGGTATATTTAGGTGATGTTTTAACAACTGACGTCTATTTGGGCCGAATTACAAATTCAACAAACCTTTCGGTCAAAGCTATTGTAGGCATCGGAGCGATGGCACAGTTGGCTGAAGTGACCGGCGATGAGGCAGACAGACATCGGTACAGACAAATTGCAGAAAAGTATATCACTAAATGGATTTGTTTGAGTGAAGATCCGTCCCATAAATACTTAAAAATGAGTTATAATACACCCGACATGTGGTTTATGATCTATAACTTATACGCCGATGTCCTGCTAAACACCAAATTAGTACCCGAATCGGTTTGTTATGTCATATAATAGCCTAATTCGAGTTATTTGATTAATAACCTAACCCTTGCCTTTAGATCTACGCACAACAGGACGAGTGGTATCAACAGGTGATGAATGTCTACGGCTTGTCGTTAGGCGAAAAACAGGACACAAAGTTTGATTGGATTATGTTTACGGCCGCCGCGTCTGGCGATACAAAACTGAGGCAATCATTGTTCGATCGGACGGCCAAATGGTTGCGCGAAACGCCGACTCGAGTGCCCTTTTCTGACTACGCAAACACTGTTACCGGCTATTCGTCCGGTTTTGTAAATCGGCCCGTAATCGGCGGTGTATTCGCGCCGTTGACTATTAAACACTAAACTTTACATTAAAATGTTATATTATTTGTTTTGTAAATCAGTTAAATGTATATGAGACTTCCTATGGTCTGATATAGTTTGATCTGGTATTTAGACAATTCAATATTCAAAACTTATTGTTATTTTTATCTCTCTCTCTCTCTCTCTCTCCGTTCCTAAAAAGAGTTTTAAAATATGTTTAACGTATCCATATATTTATTGTTTTAACGCAATTACATATCCGGGCAAAATATTTAAAATGTTATATTATTTGTTTTGTAAATCAGTTAAATGTATATGAGACTTCCTATGGTCTGATATAGTTTGATCTCGTATTTAGACAATTCAATATTCAAAACTTATTGTTATTTTTATCTCTCTCTCTCTCTCTCTTATTATTATAATTTATAACTTATAAATCTCAGTTATAACAATATTTAATCGTATAAAATAAATTTAAATAAATTTTTCATTTCCTATTAAAAATATTTTGCCCGGATATGTAATTGCGTTAAAACAATAAATATATGGATACGTTAAACATATTTTAAAACTCTTTTTAGGAACGGAGAGAGAGAGAGAGCTGTTATTTTATGTACATTTACATTTATAATTTGCACAAATTCAATAACCACCTCTTCAATGAATTAATATTATTAATGTATAATTAAAAAAACTTTAATAAATATTTTAAATTTTATATAAAATATAATGAATACAATAACATTATTAGCTGGTATTTTGACCACGTTTGTGACCATCTGTCTATCGCAAAATTGTTACGATTTGAATGACAATCAGTGTTATTGCGGTCCAGTGGCCACACCTCCCGGTGCAGACATTTATGCCACTGTCGACAACAATCAGATACTCTTTGCCAACAAAAGTAATATTGAAAACAATATTAACGTGAATTACGTTTGTAGGGATGAAAATGCGTTATTAGTGGGCAATAATGTACGGCACTGTCGTTATGGTTACTGGATCGGTGCTGTCCCCCGATGTGGTCAGTTATACACCTTTTCATTCCCTATAATTAAACTAATATTAATCAATATCTATAGCCATTGGTTACGCCAAAAATATAACAAGTGTAACAAAAAATACTGAAAATATTGGGGCCGACCGGAAACGATTGGGATTTGGATGTTTGCCCTGGCAAAAAACCGGCTTTACCGCAACACTATTGCACCCAGCGCGAATTAATTACATACGGCTAAAAGTATATTTAAACTCGTTGAAAATACCTGAACCGCAACTAACATTAGCCGCGTCTCTGGTAACAGCCTATGGTCTCGAAACATGTCGTCCGTCCGATACGGGCCGCACATTAAGCGCCGCCTTTGAGGCCAGTAGTGATGGCTATTTGATGATTGACTTTGAGTGCAATCATAGCGCCCACACTCTAAGCACACAGATTTACTTTAGCGCCGATTCCGGGACTGGTTTTCAAGATGTTTACCACAAATTCCCCGATAAGGCCGATGTCTCAAAGCTCATGACATGTGACCTAAAGATTTACCACTTTAGCCAGGATTGTGGTAAACCGGATGAACCGCTGGTTATGGGTGTAGTGATGAATGGGAGCCGTAATAAATACAAATGTAATAATGATAAATACACGCTATACGGAGCCCGGACTGTTGAATGCGGTCCCAATGGCCAGTGGCTGAACCCATTTCCCCGATGTATACCCAATACATACTGTAAAACATCCGATATTAATATATCAGCCAATAGTGGTTTAGATATATTTTTTACCGAGAATATTACGGTTAATGATGGTAATCGAGGAATAATGTACGTACCAAATGGCCTGTACGCTAACCTGTCCTGTGATCATTATAATCATCATGGTGATGTTAACTCTAATGAACCTAATGTTAATAGTAACGGGGCATATGTGCTAAAAGAACCGATTGCAATATACTGTAATAATGGCCAGTGGGAGGGACTGAGCAATAGTGACAATACTAGCGCTGTTTGTGTGTTTGCCACCAAAACTGGGGACTATAGCACAGCCACTCAAACACCAGTAATGCCCATCTCATCGACACTCATCTATACATTGTCTGCAATACTATTACTTTGTTTAATAATAATCATTGCATTCATTGTAATCGCGATTAAGTTTTACAACAAGAGGAGAGCGGAGAAAAGGATGAATGCGATAAAATTGGCGCACAATTTATATGATGACAGTTTGCCTTATGATCCCAATATAGACAACCATTACGAGTATATAAATCATCAACAGTCTAATCAATACGAGAGTATCAATTCGGCAGACAATCATAAAAATGATTATTTAGAAATGATTTATAAAGCCTAACCCAATAATGATATTGTTTATAATTATATTTATATATTGTATTTAGAGGTATTTATTGAACGCCCCTTTATATCTATAAGTATAATTTACAAACATGTAAGAATAAGATATATGCTATAAAATTATAATAGAATTTTGTGCGAACTTTAAAATTGCAAAAGTTAAACAAAAGTTTTACAATAGATAAAATGCAAGATAATTTTATAAAAACGTGAAGGTTATCCATACTGTTTGTTAAACAGTGATTATTGCGCCGCCGATTTTATATTAGATTTAGTTTCAAAACTATTAATAACAACCTTGATCATTAATACAGAACCTGTTGTATTTTGAACCAGCTAGAGAGAGAGAGAGAGAGAGAGAGAGATGTGAATAAATTTGCAAAACAGCCAACAGTTTTGTTTCCACATTTGAAACCGACTATAAATGGGTTTAAACTGATTTGTTTCGCTTTAAATCAATTATTAATTTTCTTTATATTATAATTTCATTCTTTTCAATATCTCTGTCTATTATATTGTGTTTTTCGGTGTGTTTTTAAACAACACTTAAACTCCGTTAAGACTTCTGTGTTGTTAAATGTTTTGGTAACTCATAAATAATAATTACAAATTCGACACTAATTCTGATTTAGGAGTTTCTAAATCAACACAATTGCAAAGCACTGGGCGTTGTGTACATCCTTTGATATACGCTTATTAAACACAAATCACAGGCTTTTACTGAACATGATATTTTGTACACTATTCACAGCCTTTGAATGCCTAAAATGTAATTATATTTTATTGCTATTAAGAGACAGCAAAATATATAAATACTTTCTTGCATTCTCTCTCTCTCTCTCTCTCTCTCTCTCTCTCTCTCTCTCAGACTATAAGTTATGAATCGTTGACCAAAAATAAAATACATAATACAATATAACAATAGTTATGGTTAGACAGCAATTATTTGTGCTGTTGTTTCGTTTGACTATAAAAACAATTTTTATTTTAAGAGAAAATAGATTCTCAACTCTTCTCTGAATATTCTGAATGCTATTTGTTTTATGCCTTCAATTGATTTTAGTCTACAATTTACTACATTTTTATACATTTCGCTAATCAAAGCGTTCACTGAAAAAAATAATAAATTTGTACAAAATATAAAAACCCCATTCGCTAACAATTGGCAATAATTCTTGGATGAGTTCCTCTGCCTCTCCTTTATGTTAAAACATTGTTTCAAAACTTAAATACTATAACGAAAGCCAACAGAAGAAGAGCAGCAAACAAAAAATGAGGAGACAATCATTTGTGTTGGGCTTTAAAATACATATGCATTGAAGTTATATAATGCATATTAAACTCGGCGTCGGGTCTTAAAATGTTTCAATTTTTAACTGTTATGACCGCTAATAACTGATTGTATGTCTCGGCATAAAATGCTATTTAAATAACGACTGCAAACACTCCTCTATTAACTCTTTCCTCTTTCAATTGATTGTTACAAAATATTAAATACATTGTATTTTACTATACAGACTGCAGTCTATGTTTGAGCGCTCGTAGACTAAAAACAGAGACAATAATTTCATAAAAATTTCATATAAAGACGATTTTAATATACATAAAATGTTAAGCTTTTCGGTCAATGTTTGGATGTTAGCTAATAGTCGTCTCTATCGATGGATGAGACTTTTCACACAACGTGTGAAGCCCTGTATGTCTGGTGAGGGCTCGGGCTCTCTGTTTATCAAATAGCATGTCTCCTAATCATACATTTAAAACACATGTTTTCACACATTTAAAACTCACAAAAATTTATTTTCTCCGATTCCCGAGAGTAAAGCGGAGGAAATATATAGACAAAAATCAATTAAGAAATTGTTTCTATGAATTATAAAAAATATAAACGATTCATAAATAATGGCTATTCGTATATAATTTAGTGAATTAGGGATTGAATCGTAAATCTCTATACGAGTGTCTAATAGGGAGACCCGCGCTATACATATGCAATGGCTATATAATTGATTGCATTTACAGACAAAAAGGCACAACTGATTGTAATTAATGATAATTAATGACAAACTAATTAACTGACATTTTTCTCTCTGAGCTATAAATCCAACGAAAGAGTTGAACGAAAGGAGAGAAGAAGAAGGAGAGGAAAACGATTGTTAAGGGAATTAATCATTCAATGTCTTAACACATATCCCCTAAGTTTTGCGCTCAAGAAATACAACGATTTAAGAAAAAACAGTTAAAAATATTTACACTTATTTAACGATAGGTTTGGGAGAAAAAAGTGATTACACAACGAAAAACTGCGTGAATTGCAAATGAAATAGATTTTACACTTGTTTAGTCAAATTGAGAAAAACACGGTATAAATTGATATAAATGAGTATAGATTAGTATAGATGAGTGTAAATTACCTGAACTCTGGCCTCGGTGAGTTTGGTGCGTTGGGCCAACTCTTCTCTGGTGTAAATGTCCGGGTATTGAGTCCTTTCGAAAGCCTTTTCCAATTCGTCCAATTGGTGTGCAGTGAATGTAGTGCGCGATCGCCTCTGTTTGCGCTTCAGAGTCAGTCCCGGCTCCGCATCGCTGTCCGAATCCCCGCCCGACTCGTCCGCCGCTAAACACAGACAAACATTATATAAACTTTATATAAAGCTTTACATTCCGTTAAATGTATTTTTAATCTAACTGTTAGTCAATT